GAACAAAAAAGAGAAAAGTCAGCATTACGACCAGAGACCTAAAGAAATAAGTGGAGCCGAATTATACCTCCAAGACGACCGTTGGAGTCGAGGGTGCTTCGGCAGGTGCAGCCGACTTCCCCATTTCAGGCGCCACGACCGGCTCCGAAGCAGGGGCTGGTGCGGCGATGAGATTGGCCGTGGTCTCAGAAGGAGAGCCGGCAGGAGCAGGGTCCCAGTGGTATCACTAGGAACGATATGAATCTCCCGGTCGCCCTTCTTCGCCAATTTCTTGACGCGCTTAGAAGGGCGAGGGGCATCATCCTCCCGCTCGGCCTCTCGATGGGGGCGCTTGGAAGGGACCGTCCGCTCGGTGACAAGGGTCCTCTTCTTGGGCACCAGCTTCTTCGTCCTGGCCACCGCGGCGACCACTTCGACCGTCTTCGACCCACGACCCCCTGAAGAGTGAAGTAATTAATAACAGAGAATAAATAAAACAAAAAGAGGTGAAAAACGGAGAGAATACCTTGGGCCGACTCCTTGGGTTGAGTCGAGGATGTTGACCTGGGACGGTTGCCAAAGATCTTCCTCACCAGATCTTCGGCCGGGGCGCCAAAGAAGTCGTCGGTATACTCCTCCCACCAGTCCCCGAAGGTATCGGTTCCCAGAGATTCAGGAACCGTCGGCCGAAGCCGAAACTTCCTGCATTTCTCTTGGAACTCCTGGTCCGACGTCTTACATTCCCTTTCGGAGGAACCGGTAAGACGCCCCCGACTCAGGAGAGACCGAGAGGCAAGCAGAGGGACGGGACAGCCTTGAAGATAGCCAAGCTGTCTAGCGAGGAAGTGGGGGTGATAGACCTCCCAGCCGGCTCGGCGGGCATCGCAACCCAAAGGAAAGTCGCGGGCCAGAACAAACGACCCCCAGCACCGACGGATGTCCGCATCCTCGGACTCGGCCCATGCTGCCGTGGGAAGCCTGAGCGAGGAAAGGTGTTTCTGGCGCCGGCACACCAGGAACTCATCATCCGAGAGGACGTCGAGGCTGAGGAAGTGTTTAAAGACCTCATCGGCTCGGTGAGGTGGTGCCGGTCGAGAAGCCAGTTGAAGGCCGAAGGCGGCCGTTCGTTCAAAGGCAGGAACCTCCGGTCGAAGGGTGGAGAAGTAGACCTGCAACCAGAGTTGGAACACCCAGAGGGGTCCGTTCTGGTGCGGGTCAATTTTGCCAATGGTCGCCTCAGCCAGGCAACGGTAGAGGTTGGCGAGTATGGCTGGACTGAGCGCCAGCAAGCGACCATTGGCCAATGCCTGGGCCACCGGCATGTTCTCCACCAGGCACTTGTTTGACCTGGTACAACAGATGAACTTGTTATACCAGTAGAAGAGGAAAGCCTCGTGCTCGCCTTTCCTAAGGCCTTCCTCGCCTCGGCCGGCGAAATAAAGGATGAGCGTGTTGTAGTTGAAGAAGTTCTTGTGGAGCTTCTGAACTTCTTCCCTTGAAGGCTCCCGATCGCCTCGGCTTAGCGTCTCGACGGCCCTTTCGTCGAATAGTATCTTCAGGTCAAGAGGAGAAGGGTATCCGGAAAGGGCGGCGTCAATAGGAAGGCCGGCCGGGGAAGTCCCAAGGATGGCCGAAATGTCGAGGATAGTGGGGCCGAGGGGGCCGAAAGGCAGGACCATGGTGTTGGTGGCCGAACACCATAAACTCAGGGCCGCCAGGAGCAACTCCTTATCCATGGCAATCTCCATGGTTGATAGAACAATGGCATCATAGATACCGAGAGCCTTTCATTCCTTAGAGAAGAAGGTGCTCATTCGGTCGACCCAGGCAGCCCAAGCCGCAGTAGTCGAGGGCCAGGCTCCCTGAAGCCGCGCCAGAGTCCATTTCGACCAGTCGAACCCCTGCAGCAGGGGTGTTAAGCACTGCTCCTTGAGCAGGTTAGTGACAGACGACGGCACTGCGTCTCTGAAGAGGGGACCCAGAATTTGGTGGGTCGTGGCCATGTCTTCTTCAAATCGTAGCGTCTTGACGGCGCTCCGATCGATGAAATCCTTGCACTTGTTGATCTCATCAGAGAGCTTTGAAATGAAGGAGGCCATTTGTGGAGAAGAGATGTTTCTGGAAAAAAAAAGGTATTGCAGAAGGAAGAACTGGAAGGTTTGATTTGAACGAACAAGGATGAGGGAATTGAGATTTTAGAATTTCTGAAAGCGTAAAAGGCGAATGGCAGAAATATGGGTATTTATAGGCCTTTCAGGATGAATATCAAACGTCTGGGATTCGAAAAGTATTGGTTCAAATTGGGGGGAAATTTAACCGGGAAAGGCTCAATCATTTCGGATATTTTGGGAACCTGCGAAGAGGGGATCAAGGAGTCGAAAATCCAGGACGCACGATTACGTGCGACGCCAGTTTTAAGGCATTAATGAGGATAAGACGTTCCAGTTAGTGCACGGTTTCGAGGCCCACGATTGAAAGTTTTAAGAGCGGCGGAGGATCGACACGTGGCCACGCTTTGGGGGCAACGAGAAAAGTGCAATCATGCCTCATAAATGCGCAGGAATAACGGTCATTAAGTAAAGTTCAAAAAAGCAATAAACGTTTTCGCTTCTTCAAGGTCGAGGCCCAACCAAGAGTTAATGGTCGGCGACCTCAGAAGCGAGGGGGCAATGTTTGGGCCCAAAATATTATTGCTGGGCCGAGCAGCAGGATGTGCTCGGCCCAAGGAGATGATAAATACTATGGGCCGAATAATAGGGCCCGGGCCAGCTAACAGGGTCGGCTAAATCCTATCATAAGTAGTCCAGATAAATAGAAAGGTCGAGGAAGTCCTGGTGCAACTAGGATTCTCGACCAGCAAGGAATGAAGTCCCGAAAAGAAGGAAAATTCAGAATCCTAGTAGGAGTAGGTTTGTTCGAGGAAGAAGCGAAATGGGACAAGGACTCCCAATCCAAATCGGAGTCGGTTTCAAGGAATGGGGCACTATAAATACAAGAAATCATGCAAACAGAAAGGACCTTCACAATCAGCATACAATTGCCCTGTGCAAAACCTCTCAAACACCTTGAGATTTTTCCTTTTCTTTTCCCCGCCGACACACCTTCAGTTTGGATAAACAGCACTGTGGAAGCACCCGGCGAGCATCTTCAGTTTGGATAAACAGCACTGCTGCCGCAGAATCAGCCGACCGAGAAGCACCTTCAGTTTGGATAAACAGCACTGCGTCGAGGTCGACCGGTTATCTATCTAAGTCTCAGCCGAGAAGGGTTTTCGAACCTTTATTGGCAGAGGTCACCTTGCTAGCCTTTTCGGCATAGTCAGGTGTTACGAATCGCATTGCTCGGTGTACAGGACGCCGAGTTATTATATGATTGGATACTCGCAAGTAGGTTTCAGGGTTCGGCATTCCGACGGCCGAACTACGTTTACCATCAAGACATACATCACGTTCGAGTACCTGTGCCCATACAGTTTGGTCTCGATTCGACGTGCTTATACTCTTACGAATATAATCACGGTGACCGAATCGGGCTCCGACGATTATTGAACTCCGCAGAATTAGCAGCCTTGTCTTCAGGCTGTAGAACTCAGAGACCGAGAGCGTTCCTTCCTCGGTCGCAATCGCAAGATAGAGAAGTCAACGGCGCACTCCAAGCGACATCATCAAATTTTACTCCTCGGCCGAGCTCGGCCGACGAGTTGGCACGCCCCGCATTCAACCGAATGACGTAGTTAGCTTACTAGTTACTCGGCCTGCGCGCCACGTAGGTTTTGTAATTTTCAGGGTCAACAGTTATCAATTCTAGTTTTGTTCGTGGCATTACATATTGTCAATCCAACGAAAAAAAGATCTCATATGATGTGGCCCTTATTTTACAGCTATAGGATGGTTGTGAAAAGAACAAGTTAAAATTAGTTGTTGTAGAACGATTTCAAAGACGTGGTGCCAAAATAAAAAAACTTAAGCTATTTAGAGCATCTCGAAAGAAATTGTCAAATTAATTTTGAGGATGACATTTCAATTTGACATTAAATATGTATTACTCTTCTTCTCCACCTAGTATGCAAAAAATTATATTATTTGATTATCTATGTATTCTATTAAGAAAACTCTCTTTGTCAACTTTTTTTTTTCCCTTTTTTCCTATTTTGACCTCACTTTTGATACACACTATTGACAAAAGGAGGGCAAAATATTTTGACAAAATAACAATCGTATCCCTATTTTTCCTATTTTACTCTATTTTTTTTAGAAAATGACAATCATATACTTATTTTTCCACTTTTACCCTCACTTTTGATACACAATATTTACATAAGAAAAACAAAACAGTAATTATGTAATATTAAAAAAAAATGCATTTATTAAGAAAAATTGTTTACACACACAAAGTGTGTCCTCTTTTCTAGTGAAAAATTAAGAAAGCAATAGCAATCATAATGATACTATTTAGTTTTAACTATTTTAACTCTCCACCTTGGAATTGAATCTTCAGTTAGAGATTTTTTTTTTTTTTTTTTTTTTTTTCTTTTTAGAGATGTTTATTTTTTAAATTTTTTTTTAACAAACAATATTATCTAAGAGGTGAAGGAGTGGGTTAAGCCTCACACTGAGAAAATTCTCCCTTGACAAGGATCGAACGTAAAACCTCTCACTTTCAAGTGAAGAGGAATACCACTAAACCATCGTAAACGGCCAGTTGAAAATGGTCTTAGCTAATATAGAATTTTTTATGGAATGAAAAGACCGAAAAGTCCCCTTTTATAAGCGCCTTTTCCAGCATTTCCTCGCTCAATCTCACTCTCTTTTGCTCGCTCTCTCGATAAAAATGCAGAGAATGGTTTTACATATCTCGTTTTCCTACCCAAGCTTTCATGCATGTGAAATCCGCTATTTAATTTTGCTGGGCAGATCACATTTCCCTGCAAAGTTAAAGTTAGCCCTAGATTTAGGTTTTGGCGATGTCTTCTATCGATGTCAATTCGTCCTTCCAATACCAACTATATTAACAGTACCGAGTTTCATCTGCAACCAAAACTTGCATAGAACATGGCATATGCAGTTCAAAATTAAAGTATCACTTGGTCCCTCATCAAAACACAAGTCACCTTAACATACATGCCGTTTTCTTTATTGAATTACACATATGACAAGCAAGCGTGCGACCAGGTAAGAAGCAACTAGAATGATACTCGAACATCAAGCAATGCCATCAGTTGAGAAATGAACTCTGGGTGGCCTGGCCAAGCTGCTCCGGTAACCAAATTTCCATCAGTGAAGCAACGATGTATGGGATCAGGTTCCAGCCACGTTGCTCCCGCCAAAACCACATTAAGCTTCACTGCTGGGTATGCAGTACATTTTTTTCCCTACAAATGTAGCAAGTTTAAAACCATTAGGACATTGTGAAATGTTCCTAAAGTGCAAATAAGTCATTTGCCTACCATTCACAAGAATTAGAAGCAAAACAAACAGACTAGAACTTCCCGGTGGTTGCAACAGTTATAATAGCCTTACCTCTAGTCATGTTCCTTAAGCACACCCTAATCCTAAATGGGATGTTAAATGTTGTCAATTCAGCAAACATTTATACGAACATTTTATTTTACAGCTTATAGTACAATAACATTCTTTTACGCAGGGTTAAGTTCTTTGCCTAACTAAAATCTGATGACGTTCTGTTTTCAAATGTTAGCATAGGATATTGCTTTTCCATCTTGTGTACTTTAATACCCAAAATAACCTTATATTTTTTTTTTAGGATCTAGCTTTTTCTGGTACGAGGCATTGCGACAGAGGGTTTGGTTTAGCTTTTCCTGATGTGTAGTCAGGCATAGGAGATTATAAAGAAAGGCACTAAGTTGAAAACAGCTTTTAAATAACTATGTTAATAGCCTTACCTGCAGAACACCAGCAGCAGCTAAAATTTGCTGTCCATGGCAGATGGATGCGACTGGTTTATTAGCATCCACAATCTGCTTCACTATTGCAATAACTTTCTCATCCAAAGCTAAATATTCTGGAGCTCGGCCTCCAGGGATTACAAGAGCATCGTAGCTTGAGATATCAAGTGCATCAAAGTCAGCTGTTAAAGTGAAATTATGGCCCAGCTTCTCACTGTAGGTTTGATCACCTTCAAAATCATGGACAGCAGTTGCACAGATATCACCAGCTTTCTTCTTCGGACAAACTGCATCAACATGGCATCCTAGGGCTTGAAGGGCTTGAAAAGGCACGCCTATCTCATAATCTTCCATGAAGTCCTAGAAATTTTGAGGTAGAGAAAGAGAATGATGCTTAGTAACTGTGACATAAACATTTTGGGCATGGACTAAAATTGTATGCAGATAAAACTTAGCTAACAAACATATATGACAAGCCCTATTCAATTTTTTGTTAACAGGTTACTTGATTTGCACTGAACCAAACATAGCAGCCAATTTTTTATTAATTGACCATCGTATCACTGTTGTTCAACAACAAATTTGCTCCAGTACAAGATGTACAAGAAGTATTTTGACGTGGGATAGCATAACCAACAAACCTGCTAGGTAACAAAACTTGTACGGAAGGATTTACGGCTTTTCATCTTGTACTGTTAACATTTGGCAGTGTAGAGAAACGAGTTTAGATAAGCTTCAAAGGATTAGGTTTTAAAGGGAACATAAAGTGCTGGTTTGATTCTTAATTTAGGTTGAATGAAATCTGACAATAACTAATTTATCGATTTGGGACAGTGTTGGGACTTTAGAGAGCAAACTAATAAATTAACATATGAGAAATCTTTGGTGTTTTTGAGATTTAGTTGGGTGAACAAATAGAAGAATTAAACGGTGAACAGAAAATCAAGGGAGAAAATTTCAGAGTGATTTATTCGAAGGGACGATCTTCATTAATTCTTTTGTTTTTAAGTTTATTATTATAATTCCAATTCATGCATCTACAGTGGACAAACAAAAATTCTTTACAATTGCATTGCGTGTATTGTGTTCCAAGTGTATAAACTATTCATCTGTTCGCGAAGAAGGGTTCATGGGCTCATAGACCATTTTCACCCTTACACATATTTGTGTATGCTGGGTTTCTTCAGTATAGTGATTATTAATATCTTATATATACTTATGGGAATCACTATATTATACTTCTCATTGCATTGTAAAGGAAAAGAACACTTACTCCACAGAGGAACAGGATCCTCCTATCTGAACCAGTTATGTTACCCCCTAGTGCCTTTACGAAAAGCCCAATGTACTCAGCATGACCTTCAAATGTAGCTCCAGTAATTAAATTCCCATCAGCAGCACACCCCGACATGGTCTCAGGTTTTACCCAGTATGCACCTGCAGCAGCAAGTACAGGTCCCAGAGTTGGGTACGCTGTACACTTGCGCCCTCTAACTGAGTCTGCAGCTGCTAGGACCAACGGACCATGGCAAATAGCAGCAATTGGCTTTCCGGAGTCGGAAAATTTTCTCACCAATTCCACAACCGATGCATCCATAGCAAGATATTCAGGAGCTCGTCCTCCTGGTATTACTAATCCATCATATTTCTCAAATTCAACATCGTCAAATGTTGCATTGAGCATGAAATTGTGACCCCGTGATTCAGAAAAAGTCTGTAACCGGAAAAAATACAAATAACAAAAACAAAACGGATTAAAACACATGAACATAGCTCTCAATAGTTGAATATGCATACAGTACAAATGAAACACAGATCATGATTCAGAAAACCAAGCTTGTCCATTATTAGAGTATCTCCAATCAATGAGGGCACTCTTAAATATTGATTAGCAACTGATTTCCAGTGCCGAAAACAGATCCTGAACTTCGAAAGGGCACATTGTAAGAGTGGAAAAATTCAAGTGAAGTACCATTCAATTATTTAGTTATAACTATTATAACCACCTTCTGATTGATTGTTAGTCAATTACAAAGTATAAAACTTGTCTTTGTAAGACATGAATCATGAATCTAGAAGATCATGGGAGATGAGGTGCTTTATCCAGTTTTTCTTTTCCTATAATCTCCACTAAATTCATCTAAACTACGGGAAGGGGGCACTGGAACTTGGGTGTAGAAAGGGAAGCTCTATCCAGATTGATTATCTATTTAATTACATTGATGATTTAAGTTTTGATTACTAATAGAAATAATCGGTAAAACAGATTAGCAATCCTAAAAAATTGATTCAATCAACTAATCAAAGTATGTAAAATGGCTAAACCAAAACTTGAGTGTATGAATTTAAAAGTTCGCAGAGTTAGTTGAGTTCAGCTGATCACCTGGTGAACAGGAGAGTATTGTTCAACGGCGGTGGGGCAGATGTCGCCGGCTTTCTTGGCAGGACAGACGGCGTCGACGGTGACTCCGTAGGCCTGCAGGGCTTGGAATGGGACCATGGCCTCGTAGTCTTCCATGTAGTCCCCACATAGTAACAGCACCCTGCGTCCACCTTCTCCATTCGCCATTTCTTGCAAGTTTCACTCCTTTCTTTCTTATTCTTGGTTGTGAGAGAGAGAGAGAGAGAGAGAGAGAGAGGTATTCGTCCTGAAACATAAATAAAAATTAGAGTGGACTAGACTGTATCTTTTTCTATTCGTTTGTTGACGGCCTGAAATTGCTGGCATCGCATGAATCGACCCGGGTTTGCCGGTTCGGGTATTTGGATGAGATCCTCTTTGGATTCTTTTTACGAGGATCTTGAGGATCATTCATCGAGTCTATTTATCGTACAATTATTTTTTGTCAGATATTGTTTATATTCAAATTTAAATAAAAAAATTTAAAATGATATCTGACCGCAAGATAACAGATGAACAGACACGATAAAGTGATCTCCAAAATTCTCACAAATATGATCTTATTCCTAGGCATTTGAGCTACTTTAGCCCTGAACTTATTAATAAGTCGGATTGTTATTGAGTCACCTATGAAGAATTTATTAATGAGTCGAGTCGCTATTGGGTCATTACTAAGAACCTAATGTTTACCAAATTTAGGCATTTGGCATGACAAATTTTTGCATGACTCGTTAATCCAAGACGAAACTACACGACCCATTAACAAACTAGGTTGCCATTATGTCACATGTTAAGAACTCGTTAAGATAATAGATTTGATATGATACGACCGTTAAGATAACGCATATTTCACGAACACGACAAACACACTTATTTATTGTTTTTACAAAGATAAAAAAGAGTTGTCTGGTTTCCGTTATTGTGCCCTTTTATAAACGGTCACAAGTTGATACATTGGGACAACAATTTACTTCACAACAAATACAAATCCATCATTGTTGAAAATACTGGTGGGTTAATGAATGCCCACAGTGATATTGAAAACATTGGTAGGTTTTTCAATACCCACATAGTAATGTGGACTTTGAAAATGAGGAGATCGTATTTTTCAAAAGTTGTGTGTTGGAGTTACTCTATAAATAGAGCACTCCGTATACTATCAACATACAGAGTGAGAAAGGAAAGATCAATAACATCATTATCTATTCCTACCTCTTTTATTTGTCATCTTCTTGTGCTATAGTTACAGTGTAATATTTTACCCCTACTTCACTCTTATCACTAGTGAAGGTTATCTCTCTAACTTTGACCTATTTATAACACGTTATCAGCACGACTCTCTAAATATAACTATTTCTCATTTCTCTTCACCGAAAGAAATCATTCCTTTTCGCCGAACAAAAAAAAAAAAGTTTCCTTTAAGGATTTTACTGTTCATATTCTTCATTTGCCTCAACTGCTGAATATACCATCGCGAATAACTGTTTGCACCATGCCTGTTTTTAGTTCTCAACCTAACAGTTACATATATCTTTGATTTATTGTTTGGTGTAGATCTTGATTACTAACCCAGTGTTTATTTATGTTAATTTTACTGCAATCCAAGATGGTGCGGTACAATCACCTATCTTGAACTACAAATTTAATCTTACTGCAATCCAAGATGGTGCGGCATCATCGCCTATCTTGGACTGCATATCTAATTTTACTGCAAATTTTAGGTGGAGCGGTATAATCACCTACCCTACCCTGCATATTTAAATTTATCTGCTGTTTAATTTCATTGCAATTTCAGGTGGTGCGGTATAATTGCCCAACCTGCTCTGCGTATTTCAATTTTCCTGCTAATAGAATGGTGCGGAATAATCGCACATTCTATGTCATGAGAATAGTGCGGTACAATCGCCCTCCTCATTCATCATGTAAATCTCGAGTCAAAAGTTTCGAGTACATATCATTTTGGCCTGAAGATCAAAATGAAGAATTTGTAAGAACCAGAAATTCTAACACTACATCTCACAGATTACATATTATTGTAAGTTCTTACACATCTCAGTTTTCTGTCAGAAAAGAAAATGGTGAACTTGGCAAAGCTTGATTTTGTTGTCCTGGACATTACTGGAAAAAACTACCTCACTTGGGTAGTGGATGTCGATATTCATCTGGAGGCAGGGAATCTTGTAAAAACAATCAAGGAGGAGAATAATGCATCTTCTCAAGATCGGGCGAAGGCCATGATCCTTATCTGTCGCCACCTTGATAAAAGACTAAAAAGCGAGTACCTAACGGTTGAGGATCCGTTAGCTCTCTTAAAGGCATTAAGAAACAAATACAATCACCAGAAAATGGTGATTCTTCCAAGAGCTCATTATGAGTAGACTCACCTAAGGATCCAAAATTTTCCTACTACTAGAGTGGTGCGGAATAATCGCACTTCTTATGTTATGAGAATGGTGCGGTACAATCGCCCTCCTCATTCATCATGTAAATCTCAAGCCAAAAGTTTCGAGTGCTTATCATTTTTGCATGAAGATCAAAATGAAGAATTTGTAAGAACCAGAAGTTCTAACACTACATCCCCAGATTACATATTATTGCAAGTTCTTACACATCTCAATTTTCTGTCAGAAAAGAAAATGGTGAACTTGGCAAAGCTTGATTTTGTTGCCATGGACATTACTGGGAAAAACTACCTTACCTAGGTAGTGGATGTCAATATTCATCTGGAGGCAGAGAATCTTGCAGAAACAATCAAGGAGGAGAACAATGCATCTTCTCAAGATCGGGCGAATGCCATGATCCCTATCCGTCGCCACCTTGATGAAAGACTAAAAAGTGAGTACCTAACGGTTGAAGATCTGTTAGCTCTCTAGAAGGCATTAAGAAATAGATACAATCACTAGAAATCAATGATTTTTCCAAGAGTTCATTATGAGTAGACTCACCTAAGGATCCAGAATTTCAAGTCAATGGTTGAGTACAATTCTGCGATGTTCAGAATTAGTTCCTAGATGAAACTCTGTGGGGAAACCATCATTGAGGAAGATATGCTAGAAAAGACTTTCAGCACCTTTCATGCCTTTAACGTGCTCCTGCAGCAGCAATATAGAGCGCGAGATTTCACTGAATATAACCAACTAATCTCTGTGCTCCTGGTTGCTGAACAAAACAATGAACTTCTGCTGAAAAATCATCATTCCCGACCTACTGGATCTGCACCATTCCCATAAATGAATGTTGCTTCCCTCGAAATGAACGCCACATCCTCTAGTGGCAATAATCATAAACGAGGACTTGGCCACAAGCGAGGACGATGGAACGGGAAAGGAAAGAATCATGGTATTCAGTTCCACAACCAGATTCCAAGGCTTAATTCAGGCCCAAGCTTCAAAAATGTAAATCACCACCAAGGCAGAGCTCATATGAATAATGCTTCCAGAAATCCTGAAAGAGCCTGCCATATGTGTGATGACAATAGGCACTGAGCACATACTTGTCATACCCCAAAATATCTGGTGGATCTATATCAAGTCTTCCTCAAGGAGAAGGGTGTCGAGACCAATTTTCTCGACCAGGCTAAACCAATGGATATACCTCTAGTGTGTGACTTATCAGGGCAGTTGAACACAACCCACCTAGATGTCTCGAACTTCATTATGGAAAAGGAGAATGAAGTATATCGGTCCTACTAAAGCGTTTATGTTTGATGTACTGAACTTGTAGTTCAAAACTAGCATTTTAGATTCAATAAAAGTGACATTTAAATTTCCTGTTATAACTTACTTTAAACTGTGGTTCCCTTATTCAGAGAGCATGGATAAAAACTATAGTCATTCTCAAAACATGAGAAATAGCAGAGATATTTGTCTTGCAGACAACGTAACCACGCATACAATACTTCAAGATCGAAAGTATTTCTCAAGATTGATGCTTACAAAAGTAAGGGTAACAACAATATCAGGGCAATCAGATGTGATTAAAGGATCAGGGAAGGCCCAGATTATGTTACCAAATGGAACAATATTGTCTATACAGAATGCGTTGTACGCTACTCGATCTACTCGAAATTTGTTGAGTTTTAAATAGATACCACATTGAAACAAAAAGTGCAGAAAATGTGGAGTATCTATGCATTACCTCCAATGATACCTAGAAGCGTATATTGGAGACGTTGCGTGATTTGATGAGTGGATTGTATTATACATATATAAAGACAGTTGAATCACATACTGTTATGAACCAGAAGTTCATTGATTCAAAAGCTTACATGTTTTGGCATGACTGTCTGGGTCACCCAGGATCTATCATGATGCGTAGAATCATTACCAACTCTAATGGACATCCATTATTGAGCAGACACATTGCTATCTCAAATGATAACCCTTGCAAGGCTTGTTCTCAAGGGAAGTTGGTAATTAGACCATCACAATTAAATGTTGATGTTGAATCCCCATCATTTCTACAAAGAATTCAAAGGGATATTTGTGGGCCTATTCAACCATCTTGTGGACCATTTCGATATATTATGGTTTTGATTGATGCATCTGTCCGATGGTCACATGTTTGTCTGTTGTCTACTTGGAATGTAGCTTTTGCAAGACTTTTTGCTTATATAATTAAGTTGCGAGTATAGTTCCCAGATTACCCCATTAAGTCAATTTGACTTGATAACGTTGGTGAATTTACGTCTCAAACTTTTGATGATTACTACATGACATTAGGCATTGATGTTAAACACCTCGTTCCTCATGTCCATACTCAAAATGGTTTAGAAGCATTGATCAAGCGGCTTCAGTTAATAGCTCGCACTCTGCTCATGAAAACAAAATTGCCAGTTTCTGCACGGGAACATACCATCTTACATGCTGCATCATTGGTTCGATTAAGACTATAGTCAACCACCAATATGCATCAGTATAACTTGTGTTTGGGCATCAGCCAAACATTTCACATTTACGATGACACAACCCGACCCGGAATGTCCATTAGGACCCCGAATTGAATAGTGCTAACTGACACCTAGAACGTGACGAAGCCATAAAGTGTGATACTGTATAAAATGTGAATAAATTAAAACCTAAAAGTGCTTAAGTACACGAGTACGCGATGAGCCGGTCTGAACCCATTTCACGCGTGATACAGAGCATATGTATAGAACAGTAAGGTAAGATAATGATTATACCATAACAAGAAGACATATGTACTGAAAAATGTCACGAATCCTCGTCGATACGAAACTCTGTTGCTAGAACTTGGAGGGGTGCAAAAATAGAAAATGTGAGTGAGTGAAACAAAACTTTTCAAATCAATTTCAATTACCAAAGGCAGTACCCCCGGCAAGAGTTGCCAGCCCGAGAGCCCGAATGGCATATGATGCAAGGCTGACGTCTGGGTGATGTCAACCATGTTGTGGACGGGCCTGGACAGAGTCGAAGAACGGCAACACCCTGATGCGGTGGTGGACGGGCCTAGACAGCTCTTCGTGGAGGTCGATCTTGACGATGTTGACACCGATATCTCAGAGACGGAGGGCGAGAGTGAAAGCATGGCCTCTAGAGAGCAACACTCTTAACAGCAAAACTAGACAAGGAAAGTCCCAATATTCCCTCTCCTCTCCTTCGTCTGCTTTGTCTCCATCTTCGTCGTCCTCTCCTTCATTCAAAAGACCTCCGTTCCTCCGCGTCCGCATAACATGAGCTTCGAATTCCAAAAGATTGACAGATCCAACCCGAGTCATCGAGGCGGGTCGTGTGACTACTCCGACGGAAAATGGATCCACGACCCGGATTCCCCTCCGAGGTATGACAATACCTGCAAGGAGATATTCAAGGGATGGAATTGCATTTCCAACGGCAAATCCAACGGTTGGGAACTACTCAAGTGGAGATGGAAGCCCAAGGGTTATTCAGTGTAGGGGTGGAGATGCAAAAGGTAGTTACTATTCATTAATGACAATTACTGTTCACTGGGTGGATTAAATAGTGAATAGCATAGGGGGGCCTTTGCAACGGTGGAGTTGCTCCAAGTGTATTTTTGTTTCTAATTATAGAAAGTTTGGAGTGCGAAATGAGATTTTTGAAGTGCTAATAAATATTTCCTAAAATTAAACCACTTTTCAAATATTCAAAATTCAAAAGCACAAACAAAAAGATGCATAAAATAAAACTAGAAGATTTTAATTATCTCTAATATTAATAAACGTAGAATGAGTGTAAAAAATAAAAGTGAAGAAAAGGTAATGTTGAACTTAACCTAATAGCATGTTGATTTTTTGACCCAAATCTAAATGTCTCCAAAATATATTATTATTGCTTTTCAAGATCAATTGTATTTGTGGGTACCATGTCCATGTAACATGAGTACCGAAGACCTTTTTGAAAAGAGTTATTCAATTGAAGAGAAGCGGGACATTTTTAAACAACTCATAGTGAAAAGAAAATAAAGCAAAGAATGGATTACATGATAACTTTTTTTTTTTTTTTTTTTAAATTCTAATAACAATTTATAAAAGGAAATGTTTTATTTATTTATTTATTTATAAAAGAGAATTAGCTGGTGACTTCGCCACGATAGTCCTTCATTTTAGGAACCAAAAAGACCCGTATAGGTATTTCAACCTCCATTTGATCACTATTGTGTAATTTACCAGCACCAAGAATTAAATATATGATTGCATAATAATTTTTTTGGAATTCTAATAACAACTTATAAGGGGAACTATCTATTTAAATATTTATATCTTTTTGCATTTTGAATTTTGAGCCAAATAAAATATTCGAAAGTAGTAATGCACAAGTTTCGTTGCTCAAATATAAGGAAACAACACATGTCCATAAGCATTTTCTCAACTTTGGTCAATCTATAAAATAAAAGGAAAACTAATGAAAAATGTTTGAAAACTTTGAGTTTTAAATATAAAGATAAAATAAAGGGTAAAATGCATAATACCAGGATTCACATTTTAGTGTAAAAATATAATTTTTTTATTAAAGTAACAGTATTCATAACTTTTCATTAACGTTCTCTAAAAAAAGGCTTATTAATTGATGTGTCATTATCTTTTCATTTAGTTTTAGTTCATCTTATTTTTGTCCATTCTGTTAAATAATCGTTAAGTTAAAAAGTAATTAAGAAATTTTATTTTTTACGCAGGCAGAGATAAGCCCCATGCTTGATGACATGCAACTTATGTGAAAACTTTGGTTGAAGGCCCCATATTTACCAAGCCGATGTGATTTGTGAGGAGAAAAGTTGGGGAAACAAATTAGGGTTAAGTGAACGAGGAGAAGTGAATTTAGAGTTTCAAATTCAATCCTTGAATTAAATCGATCTAATGTCCATACTATCCTTTAATTTAAGGCTTATTTGATGGAATTTACAAAAGTTGGGTAACCTAACTAAATGAGATGAAAATGACAATATTCAGAAGGCAAAGTGAGACAAACCAAGTTACAGGGGGAAAATGGAGAAAAACTTGTGTGGAGCTTAACCTGCAACTAGATCTTGCTTAGTGACACTATCATCCACTCAAAGCTTGCTATGTGGCTAGCTTTAATTATATATTTTTTTCGTTCCATTCTTCTATTATTGAATTTGTCATAATTAATTTTCTTTCTGATAAGTACACACCACAGATTCATCTAAGGGCTGATTTTTTTTTTTTTTTTTGGTCAAATTTCCGTATGCATTCTTCGCTCACCCACATTATTTCTTGAGTTTCTTCACGAGAAACAGGGAAAACAAATAAAAATTTTATAATTGTTGGTTTTTTTGTAATAAACCGACAATCTTTATTGCCTGGAATGTCAATACGTCGATGCCTAGCACAACTCTTCTTGCTGTCCAATCCAGAATCGATAAGAAGTTGCAATCCTAAGGATAGGGATTTTTACCATCTGCAAAAGTAGCGATAAAAACACTTAAAAATACTTGCAAGAGTACAAGATTATCGCATTATAGCAACTCAAGCAATGTCGTTCTCTACAGGGATTGAATGAATAATTTATGTAAATACCAAATCTTAATTAATTATTTGAAAATAAAGTTTGAAAAAGATTGATTTTATTACCTAAAATATTAAAAACGAATTTAATTAAAATCAATTAAATAGATCAAGAAAGTAAAGAAACAAAAGAAAATAGTTTTGAAAATAAATTTGAGCACTAGAGTTCCGCCGTCACCTTAACAATCCTATGTAGTTCTTCCAATTACTTATGAATTACATATGCATATTTTGAAGGTTAGGTTTTCCCAAAGTATGCCCTACTTGGAACCTCCAACATATAATGTATATCTAACGTGCGACCCATCCGTGGCGTCCAGATTGAATGTGAACATGCAGGACTCATTAATTTTGTGAAAACCTTTTGAAAAACCATATAACCCTTAAGACGTGTCGTCCATACTGAGAAGTTAAACATATTAACCACAAGAAGCTAACGCCAATTTCAGGGACAACCCTCCGTCAAAATTGCATCAAATTACTTTTCTAAATATCCTAATGGTGGCCAATCATCAAGAAAATTAGATAGTTTAAACCGGTGATTAATAATTCAAAATTTGCATGCATAATATCATAACCAAATTAAAAAGAAACTACATATTCTTGTTAAGGTTCGTGGCCTCGCCCTAGTAAACGAAAACTAGTTACGATTAATCATAAAATAAAATATTATTAAAAACATAGATAGAAAACACCTTGAAAATACAAAGTAGTGCGTTTTCTCCCCCTTTTCTCTAAAAACCCTAATGGATAAAAAACCTTATTTATACTACTAGAAAATAAAACCCTACCTAGAAAAGGTCTTAGAATAATACTAGGAAACCAAATAAATTAAAATAAATTAAGAAACATAATCCTAATGAAATATGAGAAATCTACCCAGCCACAAATCAGCCACGTTTTTGGACTTCCAGGGCTCCAAAACAGACCCATAATGACTTGAATTAAAGCTTGAGATGTCCCAAACATAATTGCAAAAGGCCTCGAACCCAAAATATATTATTTTGGACACCAAAAAGCCCAAAGAAGCTCAAAACATCAGTTTGACAGCACTGCACGCTGCTCCTTTATTTCATCGCCATAAATAAACCGCTTGGTGGAAAATTATGAAACTTTGATAGGAACAAGCTAAGGAACATACGAACTTCCTCCAATTAGAATCACTTCAAAATTCATCCGTTTGACTACTTTTTGCTCTAGAGGAAGTCGAATGTCCTATATTAAAAATATAAAACAAAGTATCAAAACTCTACCAAAATATACTAAGAATAAGGTAAAATATACAATATGAAATTGACTCATCACCTAATATATTTATGACTAGTAGTTTGTGTGTTAATCTTTATCCTACAAGGCATAGAATTTTAATTGTAAACTCTAAAAGTCTCTATATAAATATAAACGTACATACTCACTCGAGATTATGAAGTTAAATTTCACAATCTATTTGTTATCTTTCACTTTATTTTGGTTAACACTAATTTCCTCTGACAAATACCACAAATACTTGCATCTGGAAGCATGCTTGAAAAGCTAAAGTTGAGATGTCCACTTTCATACCGTAGGGAAAGTTTGAGAAGAAAAAGGGGAGAGGAAATAAAGCCGTTAGATTAATCTGATGGTCTATATTAAATAGGATGAAAATTAATTATGATAAATTTGAATATAAAAGAAAAGGTGAAAATTATACTTACAACTCATAACGTGGCAAGCTTTGAGTGGATAATATTGCTACTCGGTATATCTAGTGGCAAGTTATGCTATGCACAAGTATTTTTTGGTAAAATTAGACTAAATGACAGTTTTGTAGGGCAAATCAATTAATAAGCCAATCACAAAAATTGGATGTTAGATCATACTTGTTTATTCTACTTTGTTATCACACTGTAATCTTAATGAAAAACTTTTAGAAATGTTATGTGAAATTTTACATTTTTTTTTTAATTTGTCATTAAGCAATTGTCGTATCAACTTTTCGAAATCATTAATTTGTCATTTTACTTTAACTCCGTTAAGTTTTTCATCCAATATAAATCATATGCCTAGCACATGACTTGTGTCTAGGGTTATTTCGGACTTTCAACATCCTTTTCACAAGTTCTTTACTTCTCTTTAATACAAACCCTTAAACTTTGGGCTCTAGTTAAAAAACATGGAGTATTTAGATCTTTTGAATAAACGATATTATCTACACTAATGAAAAAGGGAAAATATCTAGATTTTAGAACTTAAATAAGATATCTTTTAGATTCTAACATGAATGGTTTGTAAATCTGATTTACGCATGTCCATTTAAAACTCAATGTTATGTCATATTAAAGTACTTATAGTATTAAAGTTCTTATCTTTTATATTAAAGTTCTTATTTTTACGGATACATTACTTTAGACTGAATTAGGAGTGGGAACGGCACTGTGCAATTTTGCCTCAATTTCACTTTATTTACGAGTTTGCCACAGGGCTGATTTCAGTGGCTCAATTTTTATTTACGAGTCTGCCACAGGCTATCTCTGCCGCTGATCTTGATGCACTCGTGTTGATGATCGCGGGATGGGAAGAACGACTGTAAAGCCGGCCTTTTCCACCTGCTTCTCAAATCCTCCTTGCCTCCTCCGTCTCGCAGACCCACGACACAGACGGTCTCGCCTCCGTCCTATCCTCCTCTCGCCTCCGTCGTCTTACTCCTCCTTTCCCTGTCTCTGGAATCCTAGAGTCATCTTCCTCACATGCAAGGCTATGGCCCTCTCAATTGAAACCAAAACGTGTCTCAGGTGCCTAACACAACCTCTCACTACTCACTCACATCAGTTGGTTTTTGTAATTTGAGCTTTTCTTTCTGATAAATTTGTATGCTTTCTGGATTTTTTATGGCAGTTTTGGACCTTTCCTTTTCTGAATTTGTATGCTTCTCCAGTTTTTTATTTTTATGGCAGTTCTGAGGAAGAGCACGAAAAAGGAAGAACCAGTATTAGAAGGTCTTCTCAAACAGTACTTCGATGATGTGAGTGCCTTTATCCTTTAACTTGGCCAAATGGGTGCTCAAATTTCATGTTTTTCTGTGATTATATGAGTAAATTTTTGTATTTTGTTTTTGGGTTTTGCCAAATTCAGTGGTGGTAATTATGGGTTTGGTATTGATTTTCGGTTAACAATGACTTTGGGGAAATTGATTGAGTCTGCATTCAATGTAACTTTTCATGCAGTTACATACTGTTGAAATAGAATTCGATTTTTTCATTCCCTTCTTTTTTTTTAAATGCAGTTACATTTATATGATATTTTACAGCATATATTCATCTTTTTGTTTCTAATTCTTCATGCAGTCTAAGCCATGAAGGATTTGATAAACCCACAATTGATAACAATGTACGGCGCCACCAATAATTTTGGACAAGGAACAAGTAAGTACCTGTTTGCTTCATTGTTCCAAAGAATTATGTAGAGATTGCTTTAATATCTTTGGCTTCTTGGCTATTTTTGGGGTGTCCGAGATAGGATTTAGGAGATTTGGTTTAGGGTTTGCACAAAGATAGATAGGGGTGTCCGAGAGAGATGTGGGAGGATTTAGGCGAGGGATTTCATGGATTTGTTTTGGGTTTCTTTTCTGTGATTTGCAGGCAGAGAGATGTGACAAGGGTGAGAGAGAGAGATGGGAGGATTTTCTGCGAGGGTAAAGGGAATGGGTAAGGGAGGTATGGGTATGGGTAGGGGATGGAAAAGCACTTCGTTTTCCATTTGCTCTGAAACCCGAGGGATTTCTGCAATTGCAGAGAGATAGAGACGGGGGTGTCTGTTGCAGACTGAGAGATGGGGGTGTCTATTAGGTGTCCTTTAGTTGTCACTTTTGCGATTTGTCCACCCTTGATTGTTGTGTGATTCATTCTCACGAGCGTTCTATGCACAAGGTTTCATATTATTCCTTCTAATTTTGATATTGTTGTGCTTAATTTCTTTTTTCTTTTATTGGGTGATTAGATTACAATTTACAATCCCCAATTTTTTATTTTACTTTTTATGGCTCACTGTTATTTCTTTTATTATGTCGTATAGAACAAAGACTTTTTTGAATGCTATTACAGCTGCAGTTTCTATGTGTTCGATGGTGATATCGTTCTTTCCCACATGCGCTCTTTTCACTAGGTTTCATAATTTTCACAGGGGATACTCACCTGCTTACCCTATGGGCACGGGCGCCGGTGGGCTCGGCCCTTCTATCTCCTCCAACCGCAGGTGCATATATATATGTGTGTGTGTGTGTATGTCGTATCTACTTATTTGCATATTTGTTTTTGTGTAGGGTTTGTTCCTGATCAGTTTTCCTTCACTTTTAACAATCTATACAATTATATTGCTTTGGATTACTATTTCAAATTGAGGTTTTTAATGCATTTTGGAATTTTTGAGATTGTTGGAAATTTTAGGGTTTGATGATTTTTATTTCAAATATTCAGTTTTAAGTAGCATAATAACAATGCACATGGAGGACAATCCAGAGCCAGTGTAGCCACTATAAACACTAAGGATTCCAGTATTGCTTCTGCGCAACACGGCGGTGTACAAAATGGAGCCCGTGTACAGCCCCAATTACATGGTACAGATTTCTAAGTATCAGTTCTCTCTCACTCTAGAAAATTTATGTGTTTGAAGGAGTTTGGGAATCTTAGATAATTGTGTTCTCTATTAACATCTGAGTTGCTCATTTTGTTTGATTTTCATTTCTTGGCAATGTTTTCCTGCGACTGATTTAATGTAGGAGGTTCTGATACACCCGTTGCAAGCATGCTTCCCAGACAGCTGAAGCTTCAGCCTCCCAGAGAAGCTCCCGAACTGTTCCAAAGGCTCCAACTTCTCAAGAACACCCACTACGCTAGCGAAGGGTAAGTTCACACCCAAGACCATGGATTTTGTTGCACTCAGTGGTGGGGAATGTAGGCATATTTTCACTGTTATATAGCAATCTTATGATGTCAATACTAGATTCTCTCTCCCAAATAGGCGATTTAGTAATGAGTTTAATGTGCTGCTATATGATATATAAATAAATGCGAATAATCAGGTATTAACTTTTTTCTGTTGGTTTTAGCCCCAGGAGATGCGTTCAAGGGCTTTGCCTTTTAGTTTGGGTGTATAAGCCTTGGTTTCATGAATGGGATGCAGGTAATGTTATACGCTTGCGAGCACTTGAATAAAATTCTATAATTTCCTGTATTTCTAAGTGTGGAACAAATTTATAGCATGTTTTTAAAAGCACAAAGGTTGTATCCATCCTTTTCATCTCAATTTCTGATCATCCTAATTAGGGTTTTATTAATTAATTATGCTTAAATATTGATCAGTTCTAAATTCATTTGTTTTTGGTGTTTAGAATTATTGACGAGAGTACCAAAAAAGCAGCGGTTGTGGATCCAGTTGAACCTGAGAAGGTTCTGAAAGCAGCCCAAGAACATGGCTTCAGTATCAAGCTCATCCTCACCACTCACCATTACTGGTGTATTTAGACTTCCTCATCCAATCCCTCATATTCATACTGATATAATATATATATATATATATATATATATATATATATTTGTTTTGGGTATTTTAGTACTTTCCAGAAATGGATTTATGGGGATTTATATCTTAGTTGGGTACATGATGCGGATTCATATTCAAGGAAAAATGATCCCGACTCTTAAGGTCTCTTTCTTGCGTCGATTGATCGTCTTGCTATGATTTTGAGTTGTTGCAATTAGATCTTGAAATTGTATTGTACGATTTAATTAGTATAGTGGTCCTCACAAATCACCACCAATGTAGCACCTAATTAATCGTATTCAATGTTGTGGTCTGAAAAGAAGCACTAATTAAGGGAGTAATATTTAAGGTTGGAGATAAAAGATTCGCTATAGCTGATAGCTCTAGATGTGTAATTAAGGTAAGGAATATATTTTGACTGATGCAACTGCATGCTCTTATGGATTTCCCCCAAAGATTGGATTTTCAGTTTTTGGGAATGTTAACAATTTAGTTTTTTGATCTTTTCTTGAAAGGATATGAAATTGTTTATAGTTAGGTTGAAAACCATATCAATAGATTCTTTATTTGGTTGGTCCAATCTGTAACAGATGAGATTGTTTTGTTTGATGTTTCAATCAAAATTTGATCTTTTTTTTTTGTGTGAAATTATAATGGAATCACAAATCAAGTATGTCTTAGATTCTTGGTTGCATACTCACCTTCCCACGACTATTATATTGTCTATTGACTGGATGCTTTTTTATAATTTCTAGGATCTACGGTTGCAATGCTTTTGATACATGCAGTAAGGAGGAAGCCACTACCTCTTATGGAGCTTCTTTGGCATGGTAAGTTGAAGTTGCATGTCATTTTTTTTTTTCGTTCATGGAATTCATTATCTTGCTATCTTGGCAATTAGCAATGTCTGACGATTGGTAAAATGTTAATAAATTTGTTGAAGTTTGAATCGTACACATGAAAGTGAATTTTAACAACTCTAACTTAGATTTCTTAATAATTTGATCCGTCTTTCTTTCATTTGTTTTCGACTATTTTACTTTTTTTCTATACAAGTACAACTATTGATCGAAAGCCACAGAAAATACCCAACGGCTGAGAAACTGTTTTTGTTACAAGAATAGATTGATTATGATAATGCTTAAATTTTGGGCAGTTAAATATATGTGTTTTGTTTGGCAATTACAATCACTTGCATGAAAATCCAATTGGATTTGTTCTGGTCTCCAAGAATTTTTCTTTGATTATTGATTAATTTATGTGGCATGAGTTTAGGTTTTGCTTTTCTGCCCATGTATATTTGATTTGAAATGGACAGCTCAATTTGCTGTATATAAATTAGTAATCAAAAAACTCCAAGGAGAGGTAAATTAGAAACAATGGTGGAAGAGTGATGGAGTTGAGGAGTCGATAGTTTACAGGGTTTACTTGAATTTCTGATTGATGTCCATGGTATTGATAGATCATTGAGACTGACTGATTGGTTGATTAATCACTAATTTGAAATACTTAAATTGTAACATTCTTTAATTCCTTTTCGTTTTGTATTTTCATTGGATTCGAAAAATGAAACGAATCCAATCAACTACTCAGCCTTCGAATATGTATACATCTTATTGCTAACTTTAAATATGTTAATTTGTCCCCGTTTCTATAAAATTTTGTGCGATGTGAACAATGTGGGTTATTCTCAATCTTCTGATGGTGATTATTTGGCAACTTCTGCAACATGGCTACTCAGCCTTTGAAATACAGAGCTGAGGATGAGAGCAGTCAGATGAGCTAGAATTGGGTTTGTATCATTCTAAATTATTCGTTTGGTTACCGATAGAAAATATGGTTGTCGAGTTCAGTTTTTGATTTTCATCATCTTAAACATTTTCCTTTGATAGCACTTTGTTTTGATTTTTGAACGAACTATATACTTTATCTTTATCTTAGGTCACAGTGTAATGTTTAACAATTGAATTTGTGAGATGGTTTAGCAATTTTTTTCAGAACCTTGCTATTCCTGCCAGATGCTCAAATATTATGTCTTCAACTTTTCTACTTTCCCTTTTTTGTGTTTTCCCTCATATAGTAGGCTGAGCACTTGAAACTATGAGTATAATACTGATGGCACAATACGATCTACAAATGAATGCTTTGTTATGCCATGCATATCCGTATATAGCAAGCAAAGTTTTACTTAATTGGTTCTTAGGTACTACACCGTCTTTTAAGTTAGTTTGTGTGGAAATTATTCATGCCTGTCCCGACTAATATGTTCAATTCCCGCAACAACGCTATTTTCTAGTAGATGACTATATAGTTCCGCATATGTTTAAGTTACGAATATTCGGATGGCGAATTCGATGCCAAATTAGACTGCCCATTGTGTGGTTTTGCCGAACTTTCCCTCTCCTTAGTATAAAAATGTCAATATACTAAAAAAAAGAAAAAAGTACAGATATTCAGTACACAAAAATATATGGTACAGACATACAAGTACGTAGATAAATATTAAAAACATTATAGGTCCATAAATAGGGAAAGAAACTCAACAAAAGAATGCACAAGTGCACAATATAAAAAATACAAGAGGAAGTATCCATTGGCATGAATTCTGGGATTTGGTATGAATATTTGGCGAAAGATGGATTTGAATTGGACAAGTTGCTCTTATTCTTAAAATCACAGCCACGATATTTTTTGATACCTCCAAAATTGTAAGAGCAAAAGCTCATATTATGTGGAAACCTAATATTTATTAGACCCTTAAATGACCTTGTAAAATGCAAACGTTAATTAAGAAATGTAAAAGAAAGCCAACTCAAAAAGTCAATAATAATCAGCTAATTTTAAGGAAAATGATCAAATTCAATATTCAATCTTATACACCTGGTTTGAATGAGAAACGCATCCTATTCCATGATGACAATCTAATTATGCCAAAAAAACATGTTGTGTTTGTTCTAAAAGCTTATGTGAACTATTAAAAGAGTACATTAAACTCACTAACATGGAGTTGTGGTTAACTGCCAACTTTGAGAATTCAACGCGGTCAATCATGTACACACAATAAAATGTGGTCAATCATGGCAATGTCTTTCATTTTATTGCTATCATATCAAAAATATTAGTCCATTGTTATCGTGTTCAAAATCAAAGGCACTAAGTAATGGTAAAAGAATGCTTAAAGTTCACAACATTTTCTTCATCAAAAAAATTATAGATTGGAGGGTCCCAATGATTATATTTATTAGTCATCTTGAAAATGACACATAGAGATGAGAGCGCAGGTTGTTTCCTTTATTTGAACTAAAAATCCTCAGAATATTGTTTTCCAGATCAACCCTTTTTTTGTGTTTTTTAAGAAACCTTGGAAATTTTTTTGGGAAATTTTATTCAGACCCATTTATCCTTTTTTTACACCCAACTTATAGTTTTTAATCTTGAAAGTCTGAATCTGCCCAACAATTTTCTTTCTACACGCATAATGAAAAAGAACAAAAAAATAAAATATAAAATTTCAACATTAGAAAACCTAGGCCATGCCATCACTCCAAACCCTAACCACCCCCAATTTCTACCCCTCCCCAACCCCCACCACCATCTTCTTATCACCCACAATGAAACCCCCAAAAGATCTCAGCCATCAATGTCCCTTTCACGACTTTTTGCCAGCCACACAATAGCTTTCTGTTCCATGCAGTCCTTCAAACATGTCCGAATTATGCCAAAATTGTCAAGGTGTTGAATCGAATTGTGTTGGATCATATGTTAATAATACCATTAATTTTTCCAAAAAAAAAATTAAAATATTGACATGTTTCTTTTGGGTTTTTTTAATTGTGGGTTGTTGGGAATAATGTTCTAATTTCCAAATTGTTGTGGGTGGTAAGGGAGGTGGCGGTGGGGAGTTGGGGAGATTAGAAACTGGGTGGTTGAGGTTTGAAGAGATAGGGGGCTGAAGTTGTCTATTACTAAATTATTATTATTTTCCTTTTGTGTTTGTTGGGTGTAGAAAGAATTATTGGACACATTTGGAATTTCAAAATAAAAAATAATAAGTTAGGTGTAGAAAGTTGATAAATGGGTCTAAATAAAATTTCCCATTTTTTTTTTTTTTGTCGAATGCAACTTATTAGAATGGCAGTGAAGTGTTGAAATGGCCTAAAAATTCCAAAAAAAGGTATATTAGTTTACATGACATTTCAAAAAAATTGGAAAATGTTATTGACACTCCAAAAATCTCATTCTACACTCCTCACAAGTGTATTTTTCTTTCCAAATATAGAAAGTTAGGAGTGTAGAATTTGTACGAAAAGAAGACTGGCTAACTGGCAATTGCTTCAGCTTGGACGCTGATTCGATTACTTAGTCTCGAGGGGAATTTAAATACCTTTCCAGTTTCCACAACTTTTCTTTTTGCAAAGGACAATAATGGAAGGCTCTCACTTTATTTTATGGTCTCCCTGAAGACTTGGGAGTTTTCTTCGTGGAATGCCAGAAAATCGATGATACTGCTCCACTGAAGAAATAGAGCAAGTGTAAGAAATGGAGAAGACTAACGTGAGCAACAAGAAACAAGTTACAGACAAAAGAAGCTTGCTCGATCTGGTTTTCTCTTGGTCTCTCGGCGATGTTCTCAACAACGAACTTTACAAAAACAAGGTCCGTAATTTCCTTCTCTTTTAGAATTTGATTCAAGTGATATTCTAATAAACCTGTCTTAACTAAGGTGATGGGGATTTTTCCCGAAAAAAAAAGTGATGGGGATTCAAATTTTTTGCTTCAGAGGCGGAAGGGAAGCCATATCTTCGGCCAACTTGGCCACCAATCTATTTTGCTTGAGGCCAATTTTGTATTCCCAAAAAAAAAAAAAAAAAAAAAAAAAAAACTTAGATATAGCAACAAGTATTCCGTGTTATTGTTTGATAGAAGGGTTTATCATTGTCAGCATGCATGACATTTGGTTTCTCACCATGTATATATTTGATGATGGTGGCATGTATTAGTTTAATGGAACTTGAAGAGATTCCTGTTTTTTTTTTTTGGTCAAATTTTTACTGGATTTGTTCACTTAATTAACAGGTGCCTACGATTCCTAAGACCTTCTTGAATGTGAAAAGTTATTTGGAATCATTCGTTCCTTCACTCATTGAGGAAACACATGCTGATTTACACTCGAATATGATCACGGAACTGTCGCATGCACCTACTTGTGAAATATTGACTCTTGAATGTTCGAAAGGTCATAAACCTCCCAAAAATTTGTTGTATGATATTGCATATAAGAGAGATACAGAAGCGGATCAGAAGCACAAAGGATTAATGTACGAGCCACAGGTTGGAGATCTCATTGCCTTGACGGATGTGAAACCGAAATGTGTTGATGATTTGAACAGGTCCCCAAGACACTATGTTATTGCTTATGTTAGTAAAGTACCTAATCCTGATGAATTTCCTGATGCTCATGAGTTCCAAATACTCTCATCCAAGCCTATCGATTATGGAGAACAAGACGTACAAAAGAGCAAGAGACAAAAACATTTTGCAGTTTATCTCATAAACATGACAACAAATCTTCGTGTGTGGGGTGCCTTGAACTCAAAAGAGGGAAACACAGATATTATTCAGAAAGTTCTGCAACCCAGTTCACATGTATGTATCTGGCTTTGGACTCATATAATTTCTCTCAACATTTCATTTATTTTTAAGCTTCACAGTTCACATTAGTTCCTCACTAAACGTTATGTTTCTTTCTGTACAGGATGCGAATTCTTGTACTACTTGCTCTCCCATACAAAGTTACTCCCCTGACCTTTCTACCATTTGGCCCACTATTTCCTCTCACAAACTAAATTACTCCCAAGAAGCTGCAGTCTTAAACTTTATCGGTTTGAGTAAATGCCATCATCAGAATGATGTCAAATTAATTTGGGGTCCTCCAGGTACTGGGAAGACAAAGACAGTCAGTCTGTCTCTCTTTGCCCTCTTTATGCTCAAGTGCAGAACACTAACATGTGCTCCCACCAATATTGCGGTGTTAGAAGTTGCAGCCCGGCTCAGGAGTCTGGTTAAAGAGTCTCTTGAGTTTGGAAAGTACGGACTTGGAGATATAGTTCTCTTTGGGAACCGGAAGCAAATGCCGGTTGATGATAAAGCTGACCTTCTTGAGGTATTTCTCGATCATCGTATTAAAATCCTGATCAGGTGTTTGAGGCCCTTGTCTGGATGGAAGTATCTGTTAAGCTCAATGATACGTCTACTTGAGGAACCAGATGAAGAGTACTCTTTATATTTGCAAAAGAGAGCAGAAAAACAAGAACAGAGTGCTCAAGGAAATGAGAAGAAAAACAAAAAGAGAGCAGAAAAACACAAACCAAGTGCTCAAGGAATTGAGAAGGGTACTAAAGGAAACAATGAAAGCGTAAAAGAGGATGATCCATTGACGTTTGAGGAGTTTGTGAAGAAAGAGTTTGATTCAATTTTTGAGCCACTGAAGATTTGCATGGTAGATTTG